TTGTTTTAGAAGGTATTGATACTTAACCACTCCCTACTATTTACTTCCTTTTTTGAAAAGTTTTTTCTTTACTTGTTAAGAATAATTTATAAAGGACAAATAGAAAGAAAGATGTTCTTCATGGAAGAAATGAATATCAAATTATAAAGTTTCTATATTTTAATAAATCAGAGTTGTGTCAGTTACAAACAAGAAAATATTCTGCACACAGTTTAGCTATTTTCCCCATGCAACTGCCTTGGAGATTTGCATGTCACTAGCCTTTGGGCAACTCCAACCTAATTTCACAAAATTGTACATGAATTGCACTACTGCATTGTGTGGTAAAACCTCTCCACCTTAGGAGGGCAACACACCTTCATGGGTGGTAACTCCCCCTATGCACTAGCACTTGTGAATCTTGAATCTTAATTCCTTTCCTCAGCACTGAACATAACAGATGTGCTTCAATTACTTCAACTTACTGATATTTGCACAGTTAATGGAGCTTAGTTTTTTTTCTTTCTTCACCATGAACTGAGGAAAGGAATTAAGATTCAAGATTCACAGTATGAGGTGTGAAACATCGGGTAGGATTATCATGCCATTAATAGGGAACATCAGTGGTCACCTGATTTTAACACGTACAAGATGTGGCTGCTATCAATTGATGTACGGTAGTGGTCTCACTTTGCTTGACAGGTTTCAGTTGGGCAGCAGCAGGTGAGAGCCATCCTGGGTGGATGCAATACCGAGTTCAAAGAGACCGCTTGGGACTGGGAAACAGGTAACCATCAGCTGAGTTCACTGGTATGTGGGTCTGGACTGTATATTCATTCAAATAAAATAAGTTGTAAAGTGATAAAGACGTTTGATGTCATTAATCACACAACACCTTCTTAGCCAAGATAAGAATATGCATGTGAGTCTCAGGAATAAGTCATTTTAGCCTGACATACTCAGTCGAGGTGGTGATTCTAATTTGAGGGGGTATGCATTTCTCTTCTACTGTGCTTTAATTTTATTGTGACTAGGAGTGTATATTGTTTTTATTGCATCTTAAGAAAACATCCCAACATAAAAATGAAACGAATTACAAGATTCTTTTCACCTTCTGTGAATAAGAAAGCCAGAATAAGTGAGGAAGTGACTCAAGAACAGGAATTAATGGTGTCAGTGACAGTTTCTGTTCCTGGTCCATCAGGTGTCCACGAGCTATCTGACACCGACTGGCCTAGTTGCTGGACTGCCGATCAAAAAAATTATTTTTGCGGGAAGTACGACTGGTTGAATATTAGAAATAACTCAAATAAGTAATTTGACTGTACACCTTGCCATAAAATTGGAACTTTTGGAAGGGAAACGAAGGCAGGAATAAAAGTTTCTAAAGAATGGGCCAACAATGAAAGAACTTATTTTGGTGAAAGTTGACAGCAACAGCATCTGTGTTTGCAGAAAAAACTTTTCGATCACAAGGAAACCGCGGGACATAAAGCTGCGGTAAAATAGTTGATTGAAGTTGAGAAAGAGACCATTGAAAGTATGTGTTTGAAAGCATTATCTCGCAAAAACTGATTACTGCAAAAATTTTTTGCACGGCATATAAGGTAAGAATGCCAATCATTTCATAATTTTGAATCTGAAACAGATTTACAACAACTAAATGGAATTGACATGGACTGTATCCTTCACTCAACTAATGCATGTATTAACATCATGAGTCAAATTAATGATAAAATGAAAAAAATACTAATTAATATATTGATATAGTTAGTAAAATTTCATTGATAATTGTGAGTCAACTTCTTTGAGTAAAAAATCTACTTTAATAGTGAACATTTGATTCTGTATCCCGGATAATGGAATGAACATGCCAGTAAATTTATTTTTGGACTTGATCGAACTTGAAAATGTTACTGCAAAAATAATTTTTGATTCTTTACCCAATTGTCTTCAGTCTTACGGAATGAATAAAGACTACCTGAAAAGTTATTTACTTTGTGTAGCATATGATTTTGCAGCCGTGATGTTGGGGAGTAAAAGTGGAGTTAAGAAACTGATGAAAGACAAATTTCCTTCTGTAATTGTGTGGCACTGTGCTAATCAAAGATTAGAACTGTCAGTCAGTGACACTGTAAAATCAGTCTCAGGGATCAATGGATTTAAAACATTTATTGATAAACTTTGTCTTGTATCACACGTCACCTACAAATAGCAGAGAACTGACTGTGCATGAACTTGCTGGAGATTCAACTTTTAAAAACAGGCCATATTTTAAGCACTCGATGGGTGGAATCTAGTTTTTGGTCAGTTTCTGCTGTTTTACAAGCACAGAATGGATCTAGGATTGATGTGTGATGCTCTTCAAGAATTATCCGAATTGAGATTGGACTTACAGCAGCACGATATAGACTTGTATAAGGTGGATCAAAAGCTAAAAGCTCTTGTACAAATTTTTGAAGAATGAATGATTACAGGCCCATATTATAAAAATGTTGCCAAAGCTGCCAAAAATCTTCAATTCTAGGGAGTTTCAGTTCACAACAAAGATTGCAAAAAGGATCTTCTGATTAATTCGGAAGTTTTTACAGAACCTTGAAAAAATTGATAGAAAATAGGTTGCTTGAAGATGGTGATATAGCACAGCATATACACATGCTTGATGAAAAACATTGGCCTGAAAACACTGATGCTCATTTAACATTTGGTGAGATGGAGGGCAGAAAATTATCAATAAGACTTCAGTTAAATGAAAAAGATATGATTCATAGATTTAGTCAGCATTTGATTGAAAAGATGGTTCTGGAAAATTGCAGCATATGAAACACACTTTGATTACTATTCCCATTTGTTACAGTGAATGTGAATGAGGGTTTTTGCAGATGAATTTGATTGTCACCCCCACCAAAGCTATATTGCTGACAAAAACCATTTCGGAACTTTTTGTTTATTAAACTTGTTGGACCGCCCCTTCCATGCTTTGACCAAAAAAAAAATACGTAGAGTCATGGTTGCTCCATAAACATCATTCCACAGAAGACACCAAAAGCAAGGAACAAAGTCGGGATATCGTGTGAGATGAGAACATATAAAAATGGAATTCAATATGTTTTCATCTCTTAATTTCTTACATATATGAGTACTGGCACCTTTTTTTTTAACAAAAAAGCACTGCTTATAAACTTTAAAATGACTTGTGTATATATATAGAGTTAGTCCTTCATATTTGTCATTTATTGAATATTGGGAACTTTATATATATGCACCTAAGTACAATACACTTTTTCAGAAATCAGATTTCAAAAAATGGCATGTGTTGAATAACAAGAAGTTTATCTTTGTAGTCATACCAGTATCAAATAACAAGCTTTATTAGCCATTAAAAAGTATGATCTCATTTTATTACGCAATAAGAATGAAAACAAAAATATACACATTAAATTTGGCTTTTTTTTTTCCAGGATGATGCTAAAAAGGAATACATAAAGCTTGTAGAAAACCTGGTGGAAAAAGAAGGTCATGTGTCAACTGGCAGTGGGAAACAAAGCTTGTCTAACTCAGGGCAATATGATGGCCTTTTAGTGTCAACATGTGATGGAATAACTACAGTTAAGTTCAATCGTCCAATAAAGAAAAATGCCTTGACTACTCAGGTATTTACTTTTTAGTCATTTACAAAGCTATAATTTTTCAAGAGATAAAAGATGTTCATGAAAAATGATATGGAACAAATTTTGATTTGCTATTTGAACTTCAACAGTTGTTTTAGTTCAGTAAGTAGGAATAATGTATGCGTAAAGTAAACATTCAGTCATGACATAATATTATCTTTTTTCTTTATGCTCTTTATAATTAGTAAATATCTAATTGAATTAATCAAATTCAAGTAAAGCTGAGCTTCAACTAATTAAGATGTATCATAAGTGGACTCTTCCACTGTAAAATGAAAATAAGTACTTCACATTGTACATTGTAAAACGTTTGCTTATTTTGTTCACAATGTTTCACCAGGTTTACCTGTCATCATCAGATGAGATACAAGAACTGAGGCTAACAGAAATGAATTTTTAAAAATGGAATCACATGAGAATCTATCACAATACTAATCTACAAGCATGTGAATAAGGAATTACAAACTTAATATAGTAGCTTATTAGTGAACTATTAAATTTAGGAATATATGAATAAAGTTTTTAAGCCTGAGTCTATGTATTGAATTTTGTTCTACATACAAGAGTGAAGAAATTCCTTAAAATAGATACAGCTTTTTTCCAGGTAAAAAATGTGAATTGTATTTTAACGTCAGTTTTATACTCTGGCCATTTTTAACCAGATTTGTTTGATAACTTATGATAAACTTTGGATGAACAGTAAAACACGAGAAACGTACATATTTGGAAGAGTCGTGTTCTTTTTTTGGCTTATTTTCAAACGAAAACATTTTTTTATTAACAACAGTGGGAGGGAAATTGTTTTGTACACAAAACTGAAATTTAAGGTTGTCATTTTCTTTTTTGAAACAATCAATGGTGGAACTTAGGATTCTATTTGTACGAATAGCATTGGTCATGAAGAGAATTTCAATGAAGATAAAGTCTGGTGTGAGTGTTTTTACAAAATACACAGATTTGGAAGCCTGTGTTTATCTTTTTAACAAGAACATTTAGAAATGACAATTTGCCATCAACTTTATTTATATATTACTAAATGTGACAGTTCATTGATAAGTTACTTTATTAAGTTTGCAATTGCTTAGCTACATGCTTGTAGATTAGTATTGTTATAGATTATTACAGGATTCCTTTTTTAAAATTAATTTCTGTTAGCCTTAGTTTTTGTATCTCACCTGATGATGTCAGGTAATCCTGGTGAAACCTTGTGAACAAAATAAACAAAAGTTTTACTATGTACAACTGATAAAAATACTTACCAATACTATAAGTGTAGCTACCAGTTTGACCTCCAATTTTGATTTCATTACTTTAATTTGCCTGCCCAATCCTTTTCTGGCTGCACTGATTTTTTCACACCTAAGGTGTTTGTGATTAGACTAGATTTACCAGTATGTTTTCCCAAATTCATACAGTGTATTAACTACAGCAAAATGAAATGTATAGGAAATGAAAATAAGAAACTGTGCAATGCTAGGTGTACAAGTGTCATTTTGTTAAAGTACGTAATCTGAAAGAGTTGAACTATTAACACTTTTTACTACTTAAAATTGTCTAATTTTCGTTTAC